TTTATGCTAAAAAAGTGCATATAGCTGCTAATTGTATTTGTTGTTTGTTGATTTTCAAATATAAAACTTATTGAAATGTTTTCAGTGTGTGTATCAGTTCTTTTTGAACGTTTTCATCTAATTTGAACAAAACCGTGATAATATTGATAATCGTGATAACTTTGGTCACTATAATCGTGATATGAAATTTTCATACCGTTACATCCCTACACTGGAGAAAGCAATATTATGGATCGAGGACAATATATTTTGTCCAGAAGTGATGGTTTGAAGGTATAAATGCCTTAATGATGGATTTGGTTCTTCTCACTTTTCACTTCACAAGACATTCGTTGATGGACTGGAATCTTACTTTTTAAGATTACTTGTGGATTATTGTGAGTTTTTTGGACTCTCATTCTGACGGCACCCATTCACTGCAGAGGATCCATTGGTGAGCAATTGATGTGATGCTAAATTTCTCCAAATCTGTTCTGATGAAGAAACAAACTCATCTACATTTTGGATGGCAAATTTTCATTTTTGAGTGAACTATTCCTTTATCATGTACGAATGAATGATGAACGAATATCATGTTGACCGTTTAATCAGATTGCCGAAATGTAAGATAATTTTTACACACAAAATTTGATTAAAAAATGCATAAATAACTGTATTTGGGAAATACTGGAACACCACCCACTGAAATAAACATTAAATGTTGCGAGACTACTGACAAAGTTGAACAAAATTACTGTATTTACTGTATTCTATCAAATAAATGCAGCCTTAGTGAGCACAAGAGACTTATTTCAAAACAATTTTTAAAAATCTTAACAACCTCAATCTTTTGATTGGTAGTATATGTTCCCTGAGAACAGAAAACATTTACCATGTTTTACCCCTTGAGCTATAAGAACTCCGAACTTAAATAGATATACTGCTACTGTGCGCTTGAGTCACTTCATGCAGATTTTTCTGGAAGTGTGTCCATAGTAAATGCAAATAAAAAGGAACTCCCATTCACACTGCATGAAAAGAGTCAAATCTGGTCATATCTGGCCATGGTAAACTGCCGTGTAATTTCAGGTTTGCTGGATGTATGTGGAAATTACCTGAGCCAAGTTACACAGAACAGTAAATTTCCAGAAATATCCATGTACTCCAGTGTACACGGACATATACAGGAATCCGTGAAGTATACCGCCGAAACACTGCTGGTTGTGAGGACTGGTGGCTGTCAGACCTTTCATATGTTAATGACCAGCATTAAAGGTGCTTATTGTGTTCCCAGGTGGAGGGAGGGGGTGGGCCAGGGAAGTTTCACAAAACAGCCTCAAATTAGGCTACGTCCACACGAAGCCAGAGCTTTCCCCATCCGATCTTTTTTTCCCCCTCGTCTCAAGAAATATCTGCATCCACATGAAACCACGAAACCGACACAAAACGATGTAGTATACATGCCAGACCAGCATGTGGCGCTGTAATTCTGCTACAGAGATACACTAAAAACGAAGAAGAAGACTTGGACTATGCGCATAAACCTTGCGCGCGGTATACAAACGAACATGGAACAATACATTTATTAATCTGTGTTAATGTTAGTTAATAAAAAGACAATCGTTCAGTGTTTGTTCATGTTGTGTATGTGGAAAATAATGTGTTTTTTTTTACCTTAAACCGCATAAACACATTTCATTACACCAAATACACAAAATAATGTTCTTTTTAGCAACATCATATGACCCCTTTAATATTATTGAACTCAACTAGCCATATTCTTTTTGACAGAGCCATTAGAGAACATATCTATGAAACATATCTATATCATACGAAAATTATGATCTAGTCCTTTACTGGTGTATCAGGAGAAGTGGTTTCTCTAGCAGTATCTCTACCAATAGTGATAAATGCCCCCCAAAGAGTCAGCGTGTGTTATGAGGTATGATGTGCATCTTTTCCTGGGCAACAGTGGAACTGTTCAATAGTTGTGTTTAGTCAAAACTAGCAAAGAGTATATATATAATTATAAACTACATACAGACAAACAATACTTTCAAAAGATATCTCCCCTGATAAATATTTTATGTAAAAAGTGTGTCAAATAGCACTGGTCTCTAATATATCTAACTCTTCATAAATGATCCCCTCCCACAACCACAAACACACACACCCACACACACACACCCACACACACCCCACCCCCAGCTAAGACTTTTGTGTTTGATCTGATCTCAAGTCACACTTCTTGAAGACACCAACAGCTACAGACTGAAACATTTGTAAGCTTGCACAGTTCTGGGAAGAATCCACTTCAACAGCATGCACAAACCAGGTAAAATTAATTATTTATATTCTGTAAAACTAATATATTTAATGTCAAAACTATATTTATACTCTCTATATATATTATACTATAGATTTATACTATTCTCTTTTCTACAGTATCCTACACACATGACTGGGTCAACTCATCTTCAGAGATTATAAATGGTAACATAAGTTCAGGAGGTTGTTGCAATGTTTTATCCATTTTTGTATTGTTTCACCTATCCAATTAAATATTTTCCTTTACTAAACGCATTTGATGTGTTTTAGGTATCCTGCAGGAATTATGACGAGGCTATGAGGAAGAAGTTTTCATAGTTTCACTCCGGAAAGGCCCAGCTGAAACACTCAATCAGCCAAAGAGAGACAACAGTAAGTTTAGAAATTGACATGATGTAGCTTCTTAAATAGGCTATTAGCCTGTAAAGATTATTGTCAACATTACTGTTGTTTTGCAGTTGCTGGAGACAAGGTCAACCGAGGCAAACACAGAAAGAGCACTGCGGAGGACAGAAATGGTGGAGCTCAATGAAAGATAATGAGGAAGATACTGTTGTTGTTGATGTGGATGCACACAGGATCCACAGTGAGGAATGGAGTCTGCTGGGACACTTCATTTTGGGAGGGATGTATTCTAAATGTAACCAATAAAGTAATTTTTCTGTAAGGCTTTTGGGTGGGATAAATAACAAGTTTACCAATGAAATAGGTGCATTCGACTTCATGCAAACACCGCGTGAGCGTCACTAACGGGAGCAGAAAGTGTCCGGCTTGACGGCTCCGTTTTCACCTCCGCCCCCGACTGCAAGCGGCTACTCTCGTTGACTGCCGTCTGTAGCGGTGCTTCAAGTCGGACGCACCAAATGACTTTTTAGGAAAGTCTTTGTGTGCTCAGTGGCCCAATAGCTGTCTGGTTTAGGGGTGGGTTTAGTTTCAAATCAACCAATCCAGTTTAACATGAATGACCAAAAGGGGAGGGCACAGTGCCACGAAGGTGTGAACGCCCCCTTCATTTAGGGGATTACTTGCCATGGTATCAAATGGCTGTTGCACAGAAGAATACCTCAGTAACATACATCTGAATTGGTACATATCTGGCAGTATATGGACCCATGGTATTTCCGTGTCTGGTCAGTAATACTCCCAGATTTGTCCGAAAATCTGCGGTGTGTACAGGAGTTTACTGGTCCGTATACAGCTCTTTTCATGCAGTGCTATGCAAAATGTAGAATGCAAAAATTGTAGCTTTTGAATGGTATTATGTAAACAGGTATTCCCTTGTCATTAGGGGCATCATAAAGCCCAGCATCTGCATTGCATTGCATATACTATAATTAACATTTTTGTCTAAAGGCGGCGCACAATAGCTTCATAACAGGGGATGATATAATGCAGGTTCACAAATTACACAGGAAGACCAGACTATCAGGCACCTGTGAGCGATACCGCTCTGCTGGGCTAATTACAAGGCCAATAGATGTCAAAGTGCAGAGGAGGCAATTAACAGCTTGACTGAGATCATACGCCTAATCAGCATCATCCACCCTGACTCACACACACGCAAACACGCAGATCAAACTGTACGAGAGCTGCAGAGATGCTGCAGAGGCACTGCAGTGGCTGTGAGTCAGAGCGAGGCGGTATTGCAGTGCAGGGAAACGTACACCTCTAACACCTCAATGTGGCAGGACACTTCTTACATAGCGAGAACACACCAAACCAAACCGCTAATCCCTGCTGGGAATGTACAAATGAGGACGTCGATTCGGAGTTCCTGCCAGTCACAGTTGGCAAGGTGCAGCGGTGAAGTTCGTCAGGGGTCAGTAGTACTCTTGGTCAGTCTTACTGGCATCTGATGTAAGCAGCCACTGAACTTTAATTTACACAAAGAAGCTTTGTTAGGGCTCAGGTGGAGGGAAATTTTAGGGAACTAGGCACATAATAGTCTTGGCATTAATAGGAACATGAAAACTGTGCTTAATCAGAGCCATAGCAGTTCATTAATGCATCTGGTTTGCATTTCCCATTCACCACATCATTACTTTTCATAATATGATGACATTTCTGAGATAAACATTATTTTCAATTTTAAAAAATGTAAGATAGTACTTCATTTTATCTATTAACAATCTTTGGATTGCGAAAAGTTGGCGTTACGCATTAAAATAATACAGATGGTTGGAGGGGAGGCGTTTAAAGGCAAAAAGGTTTTGTGATGTCATGGCGAAATAAGTTATTATATTTTAATGAAAGAATACAAAGAAAATTTCTTTCACCTTTCCATTTTTTTTCTTTGCAATGATATATCATGCAAAATAAGATGTTTTGAAACATGTTTTGAAAGAAGTCTCGTATGCTCAACGAGGCTGCATTTAATTGATCAAAAACACAGTACAAACAGTAATATTGTGAAATATTATTCAAATTTGAAATAACTTTTTTCTAGTTTAATATATTTTAAAATGTAATTTATTTCTGTGATGCCAAGCAGAATTTTTAGCAGCCATTACTCCAGTCTTCAGTGTCACATGATCCTTCAGAAATCATTCTAATATGCTGATTTGGTGCTCAAGAAACATGTATTATTATTATTATTATTAAAGGTAAATACAACTGTGCTGCTTAATATTGTTGTGGAAACTGTGATACATTTTTTCAGGATTATTTGATGAATATAAAATTCAGGAACAGTATTTATGTGAAATTTGTAGTTCTTTTGTAACATAATTCACTTTTGGTCAATTTAATGTGCCCTTGCTGAATAACAATGAATTTATTTTAATAAAAATCTAACTGACCCCAAACTTTTGAACAGTAGTATTTCATGTTGACTTTAATAAAAAGTGAAGAGAGTGGCCAAAACCAATAGAAATCAAAAAGTATGTTTTACCAAGTAATCATCTGGCTTGATCCCGAACAGCTCCCGGAAGTAGCGGAAAGCCAGTGGTGCGTACGTCTTGAAACGGAAGTCTGGATAATGGTGCGCTGGGGTCAGGTTGCTCCCCTCACTGCAAAAGTGAAAGTATTTGCTAAAGGTATCACAAAAAAACAAAGCATATAAATGAATCAACTGTGTGTTGTTTTAATGATCGTCACATTCCCCAATACAAGAGGCTTCTGGGTAGAATCTGGGGTCTGTCTGTAAACATAATCCTGGGAGAAGACCAGAAATTGTGTGAAACTGTTACCTAACCTAAATGCTTCTTTATGCCCAAGGAACAGAGACACATATGATCATTCTGAGCCCCATTGAGTGCGTCCTTGTTGCAATGTGACCCACCAGCAGTAAACACCAGAGGTAATCTTTTCCAGAGACACACAACAGTAACTAATGCCCGAGGACAAGGAGGTCCTAGTCTTTCTCTATTAACGGTTACACAAACTAAAGACCAGGGTCAGTCACATCAGTTACACATGATGAAATGTAAGCAAAAAAAAAATCCTGTAACCCATTTTTTGCCTTTTGCTATTATGAGGCAGGCCATTAGTATTTGGATTAACCCCGTTTGAATAATTCCTAAAAGTGTGACTTGAACGGGCCAGATGATGTCATAATCACTCAAAATATCGCTTTGAAACGGTAAACAACAAGCATCTGTGATCTCTCACAAGTGGGTTAGTGAGTTGCTGTTTTTTTCAGGGCACTTGAATGAGTTCTGAGCATTAGCTGTTGCAGACTATGTCTCACTACTAAACGGTAATCCATGCCCATTGTGTAACCCAATCCAAAATTTACAACTGACCTCTGAATTGAAGCTTTTCTCTGTGAACTAAAACAATAGCAGACTGATGAGGGGCAGACGACTGACCTAACTCTGAAAAATGGGGCTTCCGCATGTGCAAATCTGTCTCATAGACGTATAATTTTTTTGCCCTTGTTTTTGGTAATGCAGTCTATGTCGTTTACACAGTAGAGCATAATCTAGCAACACCAAGGTCATGTGTTCGTTTCCAAGGGAAAGCAAGAACTGATCAAATGTGTAGCTTGAATGCAATGTAAGTGGCTTTGGATAAAAGCATTCTGCCAAATGCATGAATGTAAATATGTTCAGAATAGCATATAGCAGTATATTTCTATTATTTCAGTAGTATAGGATGTGCCTGATTACCTTCTTTAGAAAAGCATGAATAATGACTTTAAAATGAATAACAAAAGCTTCTGAGTAATAATAAAAAATATTATTATTAGACATCACATGTAAAATTACAATCTGATGTTATGTCAGAGTCAATAATATAAAAGACTGCCAAAAATGTCTGTGGTGTCCTATTTTGTTATTATGTATAATCCTAATAGCCTAATAAAATTATGTTTTTTTTTAGAAAATTGCTGCCATAATGTGAATCATGCACTTGTCATTTAATTTTATTCAATTGTCATTCCAAGTGCATCTAAAGCATGTAAGAATACATACTAGCCTACATCTGTTATGCATATGCAATTTTTTAAAAGAAATTAATAGTTTTACTCAGCATGGATGCATTACATTTCTCAAAAGTGACAGTAAAGACATTTATAATTTTCTACATGTTCTTTTGAACTTTCTATTAATAAAAAAAATCCTTAAAAAAATGCATTACAGTTTCCAGAAGAATATAAAGCAGCACAACTTTTTTCATCATTGATAATAATAATAAATGTTTCTTGAGCAGCAAATCAGCACATTTGAATTTTTTCTTAAGGATCATGTGAAACTGAAGGCTGGAGTAATGATGCTGAAAATTCAGCTTTGCATCACAGTAATAAGTTACATTTTAAAATAGAAAACGGTTATTTTCAACTGTAATAATATTTCACAGTTGTACAGTTTTACTGTAATTGTGATCAAATAAAAGCAGCTTTGGTGAGCATTTTCAAAAACATAAAATATTACCAACCCCAAACTTTTAAACAGTGTTGTATGAACTGGGTATGAAGTATATGTGCTAAGGAAATTATTAATTTACCTCTTTGAACTTACTGTAAGTCATGCCCACTTTCACTTCAAGCCAAATGCAAATACGAATACAAATAATTTTCGTCATACCCAATATAAATACAGATAATGGCTTTGCTGCACATCCCTAGTATGCAGTAAGTACAGTATGCAAAATTTCCTTCAAACTCTGCATAATACTTCAGTATTTTTGAAATAGCAAGCATCACAAAGTATACACAGTAACTAGTAATCCATCTCCAACACAGCCACAGACTGTCAAATTGGTCCAAACTGAGGGCGAGCACATGCAACTGGAGGGTAATCCCTAGTGGGAGAATCAGACTCTATAAATAAGGAAGTCAGGCTTGTGGATCAGTGTCGTCCCTTTGAATCTTGTATAAACTCTCTGCTCACTCTAAAGAGCCTTTTGGGAATCATTTGCGCGAGAATTAACTGTGCACAATGTAGCATGAGCTCAAGTTTCTAGTTCTCATGATACACTGCCTTTTGTGTGTGACTGGTCACTGCAAGATGCCCTGATGTTAAGATTTCCTTGTTTGAGAAGAAACGAAGAGCAGATGACCCAAACTAAATGCAATGGGTGAGAAATTGTGAAAAAATGTCCTCATTCCAGACCACTCTGACAACATGCGCAGGCAGTTAATGTCTGCATCACTGTCCTCTGTTCATACCTGGGTAAAAACACACTCTCCACCACATAGAAGTCCTGCATGAGCACATCTCGGTCAGGTTTTGAGGTCAGATTCCCCACGGTGTAACCAATGCCAAGCTGGATAGCTCCTTTTAGGGCAGATGAAGTAGTCTGTAACAATATCGGTAATAAAAAGCAATACAATTTAGTATACTTGAGTTTGTTTTTTTTATTTGTGTATGTCTATGTATGTACTTTGTTTACAGTTTTACTATTATTTTATGTAATTTGGTATATTTAGTGTATTTCCTGGTCTATATTATATCTAGCAAAAAAAAAAAAAAAATTATATATATATATACTGTCACGAATCCGGTCCATGTAAAAAGCAACTGTGGCTAATATTTATATATAAATCAAATGTTAAAAATGTATACACAAACACATGAAACACAAAGCTAGAAAATAACACAAAAACTGTGCTTTTTAAATACAAAAAAGTCATATTTTATAATAATGTTATGGTAGATATAAAGAAAATATTAATGAAAAACAATTTACCTTTTTGTATGTTTTCTCTCTACTGTTATTGCTAGACCCGCTGACTCCGTTCTCATTGGCTGATGACATCTGAAGCAATAAAGAGTTAAAAGTTAGACAAGTCTAGCTCACAACCATAAGCCGAGCATATGTAAATAACATCCTCAGGCTCTGTCCAGCTGTATACCATCAGATTTGCCTGACGCAGACCACATGATATCCTGCCAGAGTAATTGAGTGGCTTGTAAATGCAGAAAATGTGTGGCTTTGCTAATAAAATATGATGCAATTAGGGTTTACCTTGTTTTAAACTCTGAACACAAGTGTTGGTCTGCTGTTCAGCGCTCCTGCATGGCTCAGTCATGTGGACTGGATGGAAAGCAGAGGTCAGGGTCAGAATGGATGTTCTTCCTGTCAGCCAGAGCATAGGAAGGGGTATGTCCTAGTTAGTGTGTGGCAGTGGCTGAAAAACCAAAAAATGTACAAGATGTATGGGGTGAATCACCAAAATCTGTCAAGAACATGTCAAGGTTATATTTCAACCCAAAATCTGAAGAAAGACATTTTATTTTGACCATTAAGATTTTGTGTACTGTTAAATAATTTTTTTGTTGTTTTCTTCATTTTTATTGATTGCTATTGTTATGTCAATTTGTATTTTATTATTTTTATAGATTAATATCAATGCATACTTTTTGTATTATTAAAGGAATTAATTACATTTTAAAATTTAAACTTTACAATATATAAAAAACAGTTGTTTTGTTATTGTGTTATTGTATTTTTGTATTGTATTGTAGTAATATTTTATATTGTTACTGTTTTTGCTGTATTTTTGTAAATGTATTCTTGGTGAGCATAAGAGACTTCTTTCAAGAATATTTTAAAGTCCAACCGACACCAGACTTTTGAACAGTAGTGTACTTTAAAGCTTTTTATTTTACAATATTTTCTTCAAAATATGAAAAATATTTTAATTTATATTTTAATATTATTTAAATAATATTTTAATTGTCAAACATATATTTGGAATGTTTTTGAATAACAAAATATGTCATGTGGACTGGATGGAAAGCAGAGGTCAGGGTCAGAATGGATGTTCTTCCTGTCAGCCAGAGCATAGGAAGGGGTATGTCCTAGTTAGTGTGTGGCAGTGGCTGAAAAACCAAAAAATGTACAAGATGTATGGGGTGAATCACCAAAATCTGTCAAGAACATGTCAAGGTTATATTTCAACCCAAAATCTGAAGACATTTTATTTTGACCATTAAGATTTTGTGTACTGTTAAATAATTTTTTAGTTGTTTTATTAATTTTTATTGATTGCTATTGTTATGTCAATTTGTATTTTATTATTTTTATAGATTAATATCAATGCATACTTTTTGTATTATTAAAGGAATTAATTACATTTTAAAATTTAAACTTTACAATATATAAAAAACAGTTGTTTTGTTATTGTGTTATTGTATTTTTGTATTGTATTGTAGTAATATTTTATATTGTTACTGTTTTTGCTGTATTTTTGTAAATGTATTCTTGGTGAGCATAAGAGACTTCTTTCAAGAATATTTTAAAGTCCAACCGACACCAGACTTTTGAACAGTAGTGTACTTTAAAGCTTTTTATTTTACAATATTTTCTTCAAAATATGAAAAATATTTTAATTTATATTTTAATATTATTTAAATAATATTTTAATTGTCAAACATATATTTGGAATGTTTTTGAATAACAAAATATTTAAAAAAAATTTTTTTTTTTTACATTTTTAATTTTCAAATGTGCATTATTGGTTGACTAAGCTCAAATGACAGAGAGAAGAGAGAACTAAAACTTTAATTTTTGCAGTTTTGTTTGTAAAGCTAGTGATGCATAAACCAAACTTCACCTTTAAAGGGGTCATGTGATGCGATTTCAATTTTTCCTTTCTCTTTGGAGTGTTACAAGCTCTTGGTGCATAAAGAAGATCTGTAAAGTTGCAAAGACTAAAGTCTCAAATCCATCGACGCGTTTCAAAAAGGCGGGGCATAGAGGAGAAACAATAATGTACAGTATGTGGAAAATAATGTGTTTTTTGAACTTTAAACCGCATAAACACATTTCATTACACCAAATACACAAAATAATGTTCTTTTTAGCAGCATCATATGACCCCTTTAATGAAAGATTGATTTCGGGTATTCTCATTGAGACAATGCAGAATTGTTTTAAATTGATCTTGTGACCACCTAAGTGTGTGTTTGCATCCACAGCACTGAATAAACGGTGCATCGTAAAGTCAGCAGACAGAGTGCAGGGCCTCACAGTCTGTGTAAATGACAAATAATGGCCTTTCAGACTGTCTGCATAAACAAACTGCAAGCCCTTATTCAGAGTCAAGAGCAGCCTGTGACTCGAAAATGTTCGTGCCATTCGCTCTGTGCCAGCACATTGATATCAGTGAGCCTGCAGAGGGGTAAAACACAGGGAAAGTGTGGATGTTTGCTCCTGATAACCAGCTGCTGTCTGAGGAGCGTCTAACACCTGCGTGTCAGTTTGCCCTAAGACTGCTATCCAGATCTATTACACAATCCACTGTGAGCAAAACAAGCCAGTGGCAACTTTCTTCTTGAGTCATTAACCACAATACTGTCATTAATTATACGTCAGCACTGAAGAACAATCAAAACAAAGGTTAGACAATATTACACTTAGAAAAGGGCACATCGTACGTCACAACATTTATTTATGGATCAGTGTTTAAATATACGTTTGATCATTAGCCAGGTACATCATGGAACATTAAGATCAAATAACGCAATATGACACAAGAGGCCATGCATTAGAGTGATTTTACCATAGTTAAGGGGTGTAAAATGATCGCTTTAGGGATTTTATAAATAATAAAATGCAAATGCAAAAGTCACCAATATTTAATAAAAAAGTTAAATTTATTATAACAATCAAGTTGTTTACGATTTCTAAGCAAGCAATTTGGCACATTAATTTTAATTTTTTAAATCACATACAGGTGCATCTCAATAAATTAGAATGTCGTGGAAAAGTTCATTTATTTCAGTAATTCAACTCAAATTGTGAAACTCGTGTATTAAATAAGTTCAATGCAATCTGATATATAATTAATCTATATAATTATAAAATAATACATTTTTACATATCGTGGGTCAACTGACATTCAAAAGTTAACTTTTATGCTCATCAAGGCTTCATTTATTTGACCTAAAATACAGTAAAAACTAATATTATGCAATATTTTTACTATTTTAAATAGCTGATTTCTATTTAAATATATTTTAATATGATGCATTTTTCAGCATCAGTACTCCACTCTTCAGTGTCACAAATAGAAATCGTTTATAACATTATAAATGTCTTCACTGTCACTTTTGATCAATTGAATGCGTCCTCCTTGCTAAATAAAAGTATTCATTTTAATATTCTTCAAAAGAATCCTACTGACCCCAAACTTTTGAACGGATGTGTGTCTTTATAAATATACATGATTAACTGCTATTATGATAAAGCCAAACCATTATAAGCAGTGTCAATATACAGTAAGATGATTTATGGATACAAGAGTCAATATTTAACTGTCTGAGATATGAATGACCAAACATCAGTTTTAGTTAGCAAAGCAACTTATGCAAGTTACTGTAACGTCTTCCTGAACTGGAGGCCCCGATCATCATATTCCCTTGTAATATAAACCTAAAGTTTAACATACTGCATATGACGTTCTTCTATAATCCAGTTAAGAACAATAGTCGCATTGTAAGAAGCACAAACAAATTATGTTGCACTGACAGTGGAAAAGACATGGATCGTGAAGTGCTCTCGAGGCAAGTGCCCTTTAAAGGTATTAAAGATATGTGAGCATGTGCCAGACATTAAGAGGACAGAGAACAGAAAAACACTTATGATTCCATCACCATAACACTTTAAAAACTTGTCCTCACTCTCTCTATCTATCTCTTCTCTCTTTCTTCTCTTTGTGGTTGCTATGAGCACAGGTTCAGTGCTTGTAAACAGTGGCCACGTCCACCTTAGGCAATGAGGGGCACATGTACCCCTGATTATTCCAACTGATTTGATTGGTACAATTAATAAACTTAATTAGTTTGGCATACTAATTGGGGAGGATCTTAGCATTTGTGAGGTCAGAATCTCAAAGCTTTTAGTGGCATCAACCGTTCATGTTTTTAATGAAATGGCAAACATGGGAGCACATTTGGAGAAATTCGGCATTTCATCACTTGCTCACCAATGGATCCACTGCAGTGAATGGGTGCCATCAAAATGAGAGTCCAAACAGCTGATAAAAACATCACAATAATCCACAAGTAATCCACACAACTCCAGTCCACCAAAAATCCACCTACATGCTTGTTTAGAACTGTTTTGGACTGTTTCCAGTTGTAAAGGTGATTGATCTGTGCATATTTCTCTCCTAATTCAGACAAGATGACTTTATCACTAGAGAAGTAATATTACGGATTATGAACTTGTATTTTAGCTAGAATCAACAGCTTGACGTTATACACGTCTTAATGATGGATTTGTTCATTACAAACATGCAGATACGTTTTTATCAGCTGTTTGGAGTCTCTTTGTGATGGCACCCATTCACTGCAGAGGATCCATTGGTGAGCAAGTGATATCTATTCCCTTGAAGTCTATAGTACTATATTACAGTAATTATTTTATATCTTTAGATCTGACACATTATATGTAAGCGATGTTACCCAAGAGAAAAATAAGAATAGTTTAGTTTACTAATAGTTTACTATAAGCATGCCCTCATTATGCAGAAAAAAAATCTACATTTCTAACGGTTTAGCCTAAATGCATGTTTATTCTCAATTTTCCCTTCCAAATGTTGTACAATGTGCAGTTATGCGAATTCTGATTAAATGTTATTTTGAAGTGAAAACCTAACTTGTAACGTCATAAAAGAATTATTTATGAGTGAGAGGGTCAAAATTCCATGTCCGTTCATTTTAATTGAAGGTTTAAAGCTAGAGAACTGGATTAGGAGCATATCCAACAAGCCACAGGCTTCACAGATGCACTCTTTGTTCTGACTGGAGGTTCTTTCTTCAGTTCGCTAATTGGATACAGTGACAATCATTACATAACTGCCTTAGTGTACTGTGTGAATGTTTCCCGATATGATGTTATTAAAGGCATTTTAGAGAAATTAGTTGAACTTGGACAATATGCACAACTTCACATGAGAACAATGAAACTGTAAATACTAATTATTGCTGTACAGATACAGTCAGTGAGGAGACACAGCCCAACCGCTGGGCAGATCAAATCCTGGTTACCAGATGTAGAAAATTAAAAGAAATATCCAATAAAGACTTGGCTATTTTTATAAAAAGTCCAGATTTTGCCCTTAAAATAAGCAGACAAGGTCTTCAGGATTACTAGAAACTTCCATGCAAGTGTGTTTGG